AACATGGCACTGTTAACACTGATATTTTGCAGATGTTGATGGAATCAGTCTCTCTGAGAGCTCCAGCAGCGTTCAAGAAACCTTACTATTAGCTGCCCTTAGAACCAATAAACTGAATTTTAGAGACGTACCCTTGTTAGGTGATAACAGGAAGAGTTGCATAGCCTCTATCAAGGAGACTTAAGAAAAAATCTACGAGTAGAGTCTAGAAAATCCAGAATTATCATCCTAAGCAAATAACAATTTAACGCAGGTTTACATCTATGCCAACCTAATAGATGAAGAAATGGTTCGAGGCTGGTTAGCAGAACTATTCTGCTGACCCCTCAAGTATATGCCTAGGAGACCTTCTACAAGACAGTAGCTGGGTTGCAGTTAACATCTAAGTAGTATGAATACTTTTATCCAGACACCATCTCTAGCCTTTATTCAACCAAGAGCCCCTAGGCAGGAAATTTTTAAGTTGGAGTTTGTTTCTCATAGCCTTTGCTAAAAACACCCTACCAGCCCTCTGAATTAGGGATGGTAGGGTGTTGCCTAACTGCCAACCTAAAAGAGTTAAAGTTTATGTTAAAATTGGCCAACCTTGTTTCAATGTTTTATGGTAAAACTTTGTATCAAATTTTTTTTGCCAACCTGATGCTGACTTCCGACAGAATAAGGTCGGCAATAATTTGCCTTATTTTTCCTAATTCCGAGGGCTGCCCTACATAGCAGGAGGACATGGGGCAGGTAGTACTGGGTTACATGATACTATTAGCAGGGTGATTGCAATGATCCTGAACATGACCTAACCACAAGTATTTAAAAGTAGTTACTTCCTGTGAACAGTACTTTAAAATATTAGGCATGACATTTTGGAAATGCATTAGGAAAAAACATTGCATCTAACAAAATACTATGTGAGCGTAGGTTTTATAGTTAGAGTCACTAGTTAGTTACTGAGGTCACTATGCATCATAGATTTAAACAGAACACAAATATACATAAAGTAACTTATGGGTGAGTAAAAACCGTTCCAAAAGATTAGAAAGAACACAAAAATAGATATATGAAGTAATTTCCTGGTGAACAAACCCCACACCAGAGTTTTAGGCAGAACGTAAACATAGATTAAGTAACTTACAAGTAAATGAACAATGCGCCAGAGATTCAGACAGAACACACACACACACACATAAAGTAATTTACGGGTGAGTGAACACAGAGTCAGAGGTTCAGATAGAACACAAACATACAGATAGCAACTTACAGGTGAGTCAAAACTGCAAGTAAATTACAGGTGAGCTAATACAGTAACTAAGGCACTTCAAACTATATAAAAGACGTACACAAAAAAAAAATTTTAAATAAATAAAAAAATTAAAAATAAAAAAAAAATATATATACATTTAGATAAATTAAAAATATATAAATAAATTAAAAATTTGTAGATAATTAAAAATATATAGAAAAATTAAAAATATAAAAATAAATTAAAAATATATATAAATATATATATATATGTATATATAAATATATATATATATATATATATATATATATATATATATATATATATATATACATATATATATATATATATATATATATATATATATATATAATATATATATATATATATATATATATATATATATATATATATATATATATATATAAACTACTATAGGCATGAGAGATATTAAATATTATTGATGACAGGAAATACACTCCTTCCAGCCTTTGCTAGAAAGCAAATCCCACAAGGCAGCCATCATTCTTTTAGCACTCTCTATAACTACTGAGTACAATATTAACATTTTTATGTAATTCATATACTCTGCTATATATAGTATTATTAACATATTTTACAATGATAAAACACAACAAATATGGCTTTGGTTTAATATAATTGAAAATAATGCATGTATCATCGTCAAATATTGTAAAATTTTTGCAGTTACGATTATTTTATCATCTGGTTATCTTTTACATTGTTTTGCTTTAACTTGCTACCTTCTTTTATTTTTTTTCTTGAAACTTTTATGTTTTATCTTTTTGTTTCCCCATTCTGTTTATTTATTTTCTGCAGAAGCAATCGTGTTTGCTTAAACAACTATGTTTGCAAGGAACAACTGCTCCTTGTGGGTAATGCTTCTGTTATGTCAAGTTGTTTCATAAAATAACTGGTTTATTATGTCATTTAGTTAATTTATGTAACTGTAGCATATTGTCTCATGTACAAGTAGTTGCTATGACTTTTCAGTTTGAATTCTAGTAAAAATTTACTTTAATCTTTTATCATTTGAATATTGTGACAACATAAATGTTAAGTTAATTAAAAGATCTTTTTTAGGTTAATACTAAAAGATTTGAATCAGAAAGTAGAGGCATGAATCATGTAGAAGGCGGTTGGCCAAAAGATATAAATTCATCAGATATAGAGCAAACAATGAGATTTCGAAAAAAGGTGGAAAAAGATGAACAGTACATAAATACACTAACTTCTCTTGGATCTGTAAGCTAAAATTATTTATGTTAATTTTATTTAAAAACTTTGCAACAGTGAAAAGCAATTTAGTAACAATATAAAGTAAACATAATTTAAACATTTTTTATCAACAATTAAAAAAAAACCTAATATGGTTCAGGTTAAATTAAGTTGAATTAGTTTACATACATTGACTGACTATTTAAAAATAGGTGCAGTGGAGTGTACACACATAGATTATCTAGGAATATGCACAGTGGAGTGTATATCCATTGACTAATGGTTTTGATTAGGCTTCTGCTTCACCATCAAATAAAGACTCATCAGAAATGCAAGCATTTCTGATGAGTCTTTCTTGATCATGATGGTGATGATGATAGTCTTGATCACAGTGTTAATAAAAAAAGTTTGACAAGTGATTTTCTACTAATTTATCATTGCTCTGTTCTTTTAGGAACAGAGCAATAATAAATTTATTTTGTAGAATACATTAAAAGATATTTATATAAATATATTACATACATATTACTAGTGGTGTACCGGATTGAAAATTTTGAATACCAGCGGGAACCGGATTCACCGGAATTGTTAAGAAAATTCTGGCCTGAATTTTGGCCGGAACAAGAATTATACTTAGGGAAAGGATGGGAAGGATGGAAAGAGGAGATCTGTAAATGGTTTATATGACAAGGAGGGCTTTAACAATTATAAAAGTAAGGAGACATTAAAATGAAAAATTATATCATTAAATGTTAGGTAAATAGGTTAAAAGCCTAGGTACTTTTAGGGAGACGAGGAGTACTCAAAAAAGCGTATAGCAAAATGGAATTTAAAAGGGGAAGAGGAGGGAGGGGGAGGGGGCAAGGGTTGAAAAAAAGCGTACTTATTTTATGGACAATCTCTTATATAATTTTTTAACTTTAAGACTGAGAGTGAAAGCCTGCACCTCAGCATAGTGGCTACATGATATATATTTATAATCTATATATATATATATATATATATATATATATATATATATATATATATATATATATATATATATATATATATATATATATATATATATATATATATATATATATATATATATATATATATATATATATATATATATATATATATATATATATATATATATATATATATATATATATATATATATATATATATATATATATATATATATATATATATATATATATATATATATATATATATATATATGTATATAAGCAAAACCTCTTTTAAGCTACGTTATGCAAACCATCTAAAATCCTTAAACATAAAAAAGTACAAGAATGACACTGAGTTATCTAAGGAAGTATGAGAATTAAAAGATAACAATTTTACATCTTCAATCAAATAGAATATAATTAAACGCTGTAAATCATACAATCCTGCATAAAAAAATTTGTAAGCTTTGTTTAAATGAGAAGTTTGAAATATTATTTTACAAAGGAGATAACCTACTAAATAAAAGAGGCGAAGTAGTTTCTAAATGTAGACACAAAAATAAATTTCTCCTTTCATTATTTAAAATTGTTAGCTCCTTGGCTCTGACCATGATCTTTAAAAATGTCATATTTAAATATTTATATTTACATTTGATTTCTCTATTTACTGAAAATAAATTCTTTTAGAAAGGAAGCACAGAACATAACTAGAGATTTAGTGTTATTACAAAATTAATTATTAATATTAAGCACATAACTTGCTGCAAAACTGTTAAGAAAATCAACTGTCATATTATTCATATGCCGGATTAATATGAACAAAAAAGTTGCATAATATTATAGTTAAATAATAGTTAAATATTAAATAAATAGTTAAATATTTTATTTTATTCAAAGCAAATAAAGAAAAATAAAAGAAAATGCTTTACTTACCACAATTAGAATATGCCACTCTTAAACTCCGAAATTCACATAAACATACGAAAGTAAACAAAGGTCATAAAACAGTCAATAAACACTAAATCTTGCCAGATAGCATTAGATTTTGCTAAAAACATTAAAAAAGATCATCACTGCAAACATTAAGAAAATGTCACTACTCTAAGCCAAGAAATAAAAAAGCTAGGCTAAATATTCAAAAATTTATGTTGTGTTGCCAAACTTTTGGCCAGGACTGTATATATATATATATATAAAGCCCTTAGAATTAGGTTCAGCATTCAGCAATGCCGACCTAACTGGTGTCCTAAAAGTGTTTAAGATCGTATTGTAAGGACTTTGTAGCAAATAAATTAGGGTGTCCCATAATGACATTTTTTCCCAAAATGACAGTTTTTTTAGTTTTTAACTGTTTTTAGATTTTCAATTAGTTTCATATGTATTTTTATCTACTAAAATCAAAGAAAAAAAAAAATCAAAAAATTTTCATATTTGACTTCCCCCTGCTGCTCTTTTTTTCATGTTTTATTTCTATTAAAATTATTTTTGATAATCAACTATGTTCGCATGCTTTATAATTTTCTTGTGTAATTATGTTTAATAAAACTTAATAAATGTTATTTTCAAAAAATTTTTTGTATTTGACACCCCCTCATAACTTTAAAGTGAAAGAAGATACACTAGATGTACATACAAATCTATACAAGAGGGTATTAGTTTTCAACTTACAAAAAACTCTACCAGCACTGGTGCTTAGTACAGAAATTGCCTACTATAAAAGGCAAATGTGAACTTACAATCTTGGAATCCATGATCAAAACTTAAAGACAGAATTTATATATGTATGGAGTGAGCATCCAGAGGTACTCAAGAGATAAGTTTGTGTATCCTCGAGCATGTTTTTTGACACTACCAGAGACTGTGACCCATTTAATATTGTATAGTGATAGTTGTGGTGGACAAAATCATAATATAAAAATGTATCTTATGTTACAATATATTTTGCACAAATCTTCATCTTTAATTTCCATTAAACAGAAGTTTTTTGTACCAGAGCATAGTTTTTCCTCCTGCAACCAAGACTTTGCTGTGATTCAAAAAGCCAAAAAAATGAAGGACTAAATATTTGTTCCAGATCATTGGATAGACCTTATTAAAAGTGCAAAAAAGAGAGCCCCAAAATTTATTGATAATAAATATTTATAAGAAAAATGGAGACCCATGAATTTCTCAGTACAAAATCATTGGAGAGTGGTATAACCAATAGAAAAAACTAATAAGTAGCAAAAAAGTTTCATGGCTAAAGACATGCTGGATAAAAATGGAAAAAGGATCGCCACACTCATTTCAAATGAAGGAATTACATTTTGAAAAATCTTTAGTGAAAGATTCATGTTGCTGGAGGTAACAATTCAAAATCACGGACAGCCATCTGGCACTATCAATGTTGAACTTGAGCCCTTGTACCTCAATAGTAGAAAACTCACAAAAGAAAAGCTAATTGATCTTTTTGAACTAATACAATTCATACCGCTTATCCATCATCCCTAAGATTTTGCTCTTAAAGTTGACAAGAAGGCAACTGATTTGGGTCTAACGGATGATTCTGATGACAAAGACATAACTTAGTGCATGCTACATATATAAAAGAGTCATTAACAAGTCATAGGCAAAACATCCGTTTAGCCTAACTCTATTAACAATATTTACAGAAATTTGAATATGCAAAATTGCCTAACAATTTTGTTATTGCAGAACACAGTAATATAGTGTCCTATTTTTTTAGTAGATATGCCAGTGTATTTTTTCACCTGTTTTTTTATAATAAATACTATCCTTCTGATAATGATACTTTTTCCTGTTATTTTTAAAAAGATCCTTGAAGTCTTTTACAGTTTACTAATAATGAAGTAATTGTGACCACTTTTCTGCTGAGCCCTTCATATCTATTATTTATATCCACTATAACTAACTACTATTATAATTTTAAATAGTTTTGTAATAAATAATAATAAAAATTTATTAAAAATGAATTGTCACCCCCATCCTTTCTCAATACCCTTGTCATATGATTTTTTCTGCCTAAATATGGAACTTTATTAGTTATAATTTTTAAGTAAAACAAAAATATGGAACTTTATTAGTTATAATTTTTAAGTAAAACAAAAAATATGGAACTTTATTAGTTATAATTTTTAAGTAAAACAAAAAATATGGAACTTTATTAGTTATAATTTTTAAGTAAAACAAAAAATATGGAACTTTATTAGTTATAATTTTTAAGTAAAACAAAAAATATGGAACTTTATTAGTTATAATTTTTAAGTAAAACAAAAAATATGGAACTTTATTAGTTATAATTTTTAAGTAAAACAAAAAAACGTGATATAAGTATAAGAATAAGTACTAGGAAATTCAAAATCTCATTTTGTTAAAATTATAACAACAAAATAACAATATTTTAAAGTTATATAAAAAAGAGATTGTTTAGAGCATATTTTCAAAAATTAAGTTTTTGAATTGCTTGTTTATTTATGTAAGGAAGAAATTTTCAGTGGTATTTTACTCCATGTAAAAGAAATTCTTTGATTGCATAGTCTGCTCTTCATCTTTCGTAGTAGATGTTGCATTGTCTTGAATTTAACAACTCGCTATGTTGTTTACAGATTTCAGTACTTTGATATGCTCAAACATGTGTTTAAAATTTGTGTTAGTCCAAATCTTTAAGGATTTTATCCAAATAATTTTAGAATATTGCTTTAAATCAGTCAAACAAGTAGTCTGCTTCAGAAGATGAAATTAAGGAAAGCCTAAATCATGTTCTCAGTTTTCTTTTATATTTTTCAGAATTGTTTTGGCAATTTTAGTTTTATGACAATAATGAAAGAGGGGATATTTTTTCGGTTAAATATCAAAGATATCGATTAAATGTTTCTAGGGCAGCTACAACAACATCATTGTCAATTTTTTTATAAATTAGAATTTCTTTGTAGAATTCCAAATCATAATATGGGGCATCAATTGTGCATGTAAGCCATATTTTCACATAAAATAGTAAAGTAAATTTACAAAAAATCTAGATTATTTTTCTATAAAACTTTCTTCATACTCAAAAAATTATTACTTCTGCTT